AGTAGAAGAAAACAAAGAAGTCCTTATATAAATACGGAAAGCTGGGAGAACAAAAGATTGTGCCTTCTTCAACTTCCTTGATTTATACCAGCAAAGTGTAATGTACACTGCGACTTACTCCGGATAGTAGATACTTTTTATTACACACACACACACACACACACACACACACACACACACACACACACACAGAGAGAGAGAGAGAGAGAGAGAGAGAGAGAGAGAGAGAGAGAGAGAGAAAACTAAGCTTGTAAACCAAGCTTGTGTCCTTCTCCAAAAGTCAATACTCCTTTGGAGTATTAATTTCTCTACAGTGCTAAAAATTAATTGGGCTTCTAGTGCAGAAATGCAAGAAAAGCATCATCATCATGTGATCCTGGAGAACAGGGTCACCCCACTCTGTTGAGGGATCTACAGCCCTACAATTCCATTCTTGTTCCGATTGTGCTTTGACTTCTTTTTATTTTTTTTTAATACTTCCCAGAAAATTTATTCTTGATAGGTGGCATCCATACTTAGAAGGTATAAATAAAAAAGTGGATGAATATAAATCAGCAGTTCTCAACCTATGGGTCGCGACCCCATTTGAGGTCGATCGACCATTTCACGGGGGTCGCCAAGCAAGGCTGTCCGCCATTTTTTCCCCCTTTTCCGGCGGGTGCCTTACCTCCCTTGGGCTGGGCCAGCTGGTGGTCGGCCTGCTCTGTCTCTGCTGCTTGCCAGCTACGCCTCGGCCGGCGCAGGGGGCGAAACCACACATGCGCGGTGCTCCTGGGCAGGGAAAGTCCTCGACTTACGACCGGTTGGGTAGTCCTCGACTTACGACCGGTTTAGTCCTCGACTTACGACCGGTTTAGTCCTCGACTTACGACCGGTTTAGTCCTCGACTTACGACCGGTTGGGGGTCGCGGCATTAAAAAGGTTGAGAACCACTGATATAAATGGTAGATTCAAAGTTTACTTTCATTTCTGCTTTCCTCAGAAACTAAATAAATAAATAAATAAACTAAGTCATGTGCCGATGCATGCAAATCTGTTTTGATCTTTCTTCTTTCCCCCACATTAGTAGGAATGTTCAGAGAAAGTTATTTATAGGGTCAGTTTGATTGTCAAAAAGTTATTATGGAGCTATGGTGCGGTATTCTCTAATACATGTTTGTTTTGAAATATACAAGCAAGCATGGAGGGGAACAGGCCAGCACTGTGATAAATAATGCTCCATTATTTGTTGATGGATTTAAATTATTTTCTATCCATTTGTTTGAAGTAGACAAGCTGGTCTTTTCAAACATGTCTGCATGGCCAACTGCAGTGGATTGTGTGGGAGAGACAATCCAAAACTTCCGGAAGAATCCAGAAACTGGCAACTGTATTCCAAGAAGGCTACCCCCAGCTTCCCATTGTCATCTTATCCAAAGCAATTTATCCCTATAAGATGACCAACTAAATTGGGGAGGGGAAGTAAAGGTGACAGTAAAACAACAACTACAACATCATGAGATAAGGCATGCAATTCTCATTACACTTGAAGCCAATCTTGGCTGATCTCAAAAGGGTAAGTAGAATCAGATGGGTTATTATTGGGATAGATAGGAGATCCCAGGAAATCTTAGGACTCTGACCTTAATCTAGGAAGTTGAAAAAACATCTTAAGGAAAAGCAGGGCCAACTATTTTCACACGGTTGCCAAGAATATAGCAGAGCCGTGGCCATAAAGTCACCAAGCTTTGAGCTTGATGTAAGGGAGTCTTTAGTGACTTTTGCACTTAATATCTCTATCTCTTGCAAAGAGTTGAAGAAATCCTTATACATTTCACTAAATTCTCCCCTCCCCCCCTTTTAAAAAACTTTTGTGGCATCTTAATTCCAGGCAGCTACATAGACAAGTATGCAGTTTTATTGGGGATGTTTTAGAAGTAGTTTGCCTTCTTCTGGAGGCTGAGAGAGAAGGATTGGCTCAGAATCACCAACTGGCTTTGTACCTAAAGTGGAACTAGAATTCATGCTCTCCCAGTTTTTAGCCTGGTGCCTTATCTACTACAGGGCTTTTCAACCAGTGTACGGGTACCACCTGTGGTACATTGGCACCTGGCAGGTGGTACGCGACCATCCTAGAAAAGTGGTAGCGGGGGAGGGGAATGAGCTGAACCGGTGGCAGCACCACACAAGCCTGAATGAGAGATGGCTGGAGCTGCAGGGCTGTCAGGGCTCAGCGGAAGCGCCAGGATCAGCACTTCTTTGGGGCTGTCAGGGCTCAGTGGAAGCGCCAGGATCAGCGCCAGGCTCCAGCTGGAGCTCAGTGCTGATCCTGGTGCTTCTGCTGAGCCCAGAAGAAGCGCCAATCAGCTGGAATGTTGCGGCATCTCCAGGGTCTTGTGATTTACATTCAGATGCTTGGCAACTGATTCATATTTATGATGGTCACAGTGTCCCAGGGTCATGTGAAGTGACCAAAACCTGCTGCAACCACCCAGCAGACAGGGGGAATAAAAACCAAACACACCCCCACCCCACCCTCGCTCCCAATCCTCAACAGAAATGCTCACAACAATGAAAACCTTGGACAGGAGGAAGAGTGCGTCCGGGTGGGCAGGCAGGTGTCTTGCTCGGTTGTGGCTTGGGGGGCACTTTTTTCAGTGCCATTGTAACTTCGAACAGTCACTAAGCGAACTGTTGTAAGTCAAGGACTACCTGTACTTTATCACTTTTTTCCTTTTTTTTTTTTTGTCATCAAGTTTCTGACACCTTGCTAGGCGACTGGTGGTACTCGGATGTTGCAATATCCTAAAAGTGGTACAATGGGTGAAAAGGTTGAAAAGTCCTGGTAGAATCCACTATACCAAACTGGCTCCCTATGTTATCCCCCTTGAAGTATGCTAAAGCTTCTTTTGCTACATGAATGTTAAGCCTGATTCTTTGATGCTCCATTTTCCAAAACTGTAAACAAGATTATGCTATAAACAAGCAGTGTCAACTTCCAAGATGTTATTTGTTTATTTGTGCACTTATTCAGTTTTGAGGCCACCCAACTTCATAGCAACTCTGGATGGTGTAGATATTTTAAAAATTAAAGGAAAACAAAGTATGTTAAATAAAAAGTTTGATTCAAGTCAAAAAGAGTGGGACTAGTACGAATTTCTGGGAGGATATCCTTCAAACAGGGTAGTGCCACCATCGAGAAGACCCCGTACAGTTAACTTTCTGGGATTCTTCCCATTGCAGTTCCAAACCTGCCAACCAAATCTTCAGACTTCTTTATTGGCTATTTTCCAAAGGGCTAAAGCTGACATTTTGTAAACTTTCAGTTCCCCTTGTTAAAGTATTTCCTTCATATAAATGTTAAATGGTAAAGGATGGATAATTTTCATTACTTTACATAATGAATCTTCATCAACATTACTTTAAATACTTTAACTTATGAATCCAGAACAAAACCAACAGAAATTCAAGTATATCTGTTTTATGGTGTGTGTGTGGGGGGGTACTTGCACCCGAAACAATATATTAGAGTGCAGGCATTTAATTTCCCTTCTTCTCTGCATTTTCTTTGAACATGTTCCCTTCCATTTTTAAAAAATGTTGTTCTTTTTTATTTCTTTAAATTAAAATAAAATTTGGACAGCAAGTGCTCACAAGTGATGGCTGAATAGCTAAGGAGTGACAGCACACAGATCCTCATCGGCAGAGTGCCTGTGGAAAAAGTGACCTCAGCTAAAACAAACAGGTTCTGATTCAGGCCATGGACTGGGTGTGGGAGAGGCCGAAGGGAAACGCTCACAAAGGAAAGTTCCTGGGATCACACTTGCTTAAAAAGTTTTTAAATCCTACGAATTCTTTTGCCACGGACCCCAAATGCAAAGTCTGTTTCCCTTTCCACTGATATGGATCCTCATTTAAACATTCCACAGTCATCATTCCAGTTCACAAGTGTGCACTGAGGATAGGAAGGGAAGAGTTGTAAGCTCTCACTACAGCAACCTTGCCCAAACAAGAGCTTTCATGTATTTTGGACTTAACACAATCTCCACAGCTCTCGTCAGCACAGGCAGCAGAAACCATAAAAGTAGAAAGTCAACAGATGTAGAAGGCTCTAGCCATGTTTTGTTCATAAAAACCTTACTTTGATATGTAAATTATCGTTGGAATGAAACAGTGGTGTGCCACTATCCCAGGATTAAGTCCTCCTGTAATGCTGCATTGCATACTTAAGCGTCTATATGCTTGAGTTCTTAGATAAAGGCCATGTGCTAATCTCAGGTGGAAAAGAGGTGAGACACTTTATAACCATTATGCAATAAATCGGTGTCGGTGGTAAAGACATAGTTATTTCAACATCCTTCTGCTTACTAAGAATCTGCCATTTTATTTTACTTTGTTCTCTTTTTTAGTCCTCAGGGTGACTCAGTAGGGATAGCAAAATGAGATTTTGACTCTACTGCAAATGTACCACTGTAGGGTTTCATAGCTACAGTAGAGAGTCAAGACCTAACCATTTCATGGTTAGTATCAGAACTACAATCCCAGCCAGAGCAATGGATCCTCATTTAAACCAAACGTTCCACAGTCATCCTTGCAGCCAATGCAAATTTTCCTGAATAGGCACCAACATCTAGACATGATTATTTGTACAAAAAATGGATGCTGTGTTCCAAGACAGTGTAGACTTGCTCAATAGCTTCCCCATTAAAAGAAAGAAAGAAAAATAAGTGTTTAGCACCATGAGTAAAAACCTGCTCCTTTTGTAAAACTTACATAGGTCTGTATGGCTGGCTCTGTAAAAGCACACTTAAAGAATGAATGTCATATGCTTTAAAGTAGCTATTCAAAATTATTTTAAAATACCGTATATTGAAAAAATATCATTGGGATTTCTTGTTTTCAGTGCACCTTAAGAAAATTGGGCAGAGTAAACGTGTTAACAAAAGCTCTACGGAAAGGCCAGTCATTTCCTGTCTGTTTGCTAGAGACAGATCTGTATTGTTTGCCATTTCCAGTTCCAGTAATGGGAATGAACACTTGACCAATATCTTGCCAGTTTGTAGTACTTGGTTGCTGAAAACACATCTGCCCCATTGTCTTCCACTGGGACTTTTGTGCTGCTGGGGTTTCATTTTTAGAAAAGATAAAGTCCTTAAAGGAGAGAACTATTGGAACTCATGATCATTTCTTTATGCTGGAGTTTCATGTCTGCTTTCCGATTACAAGATGTATTGCCTTTTGCTGTTGATCCTCTTATTTTGTAAGTTCTGGATGGGGGACGCCAGCGGTAGAAACAAATTAATACTTGTTTCCTCCTACCCGTTGTTTAATGCTCTTCTCCTTCTCCTTCTTCTTAGGCGGCAAGGTGAAAAGTCAAGATAATGGTGAGTTTGCATGTTTTGAAAAATATATACCATTCTACTTAGAAGAAATTTGAAGTTATAGAAATATTTATTGCTCTAGATCTGCATATGTGAGATAAGTATTTGGCCGGGGTGAAAATTTAAAAGTCACAATATATTTAAAGAGTATACACAGAATGTTCTTTCTTCCTGTCTTCAGCTTCTGGAGTGATTATGCTATGGGCTAAGTTATTCTATTATAGCCAACTCTACAATTCTCTGATGGCACCTTTAAAATCTAACAAATTTATCAGCGTAGAAGCATTCTGAACTACAATCTCTTTCCTAATAATCATGGAATATTCTGAAACAATATTACTATATGGGTATATACTGCAAAAACTATTCCTATTGTATTTCTGTAGGCACAATATTCCATGAACTCAAATAAATGAGCTGCAATTCGCTAAGGCTCGATCCATAAAATATTGATTAGACTTTAAGGCACACAAGATTGTTAGTTGTTCTTCTAATATAGGAATCACAATATGTACTGACTGAGTTTCCTCATTATAGACTGAAACCATCATTAAAATTATTAACCTTAATCATAATGAATACTAATTCTTATATTCTTCACTGCATACTGGTTTCGAATAACCTAGAATAGCTTAAAAGTAGCTCTTCTACTTTTCAAAAGTGTCAACAGCAGTTTTGCCTTCATTGCCAATTCAGGTTGAAACCCTAATGCAGGAGTGGGGGGGGTCTCTTCTCTCTCTCTCTCTCTCTCTGTGTGTGTGTGTGTGTGTATGTGTGTGTGTGTGTGTGTGAGAGAGAGAGAGTATATGGTGTATATTTTCAAAAGAGAGAGAGAGAGAGTCAGTGCGTTTGGGACAAAATTTAACAGCGGATATTGTTAAGGCACTGGTTTTCATTGCCTTCAAAGCAAAAGAGAACCTTCAGAAAGCATTTGTCATGCCTGGAATATTACATGGAGGTTTTCTGTTTTTAGTTTAGACCTTGGTTGGTCCAAATGTTCACTCACTTTTGGCACCCAATGGGGACCCCTGAAGTTATCCTTCGCGTTCAGACTCCCCATCATCACCAATGTCGTTGAATGCTTAAAAAAATTCCTTAAGATAGGATTGGACAAGTCACATCATATTAAGTTCAAACCCTAACTTTAATGCCACAAACACTATTCAGAAGATAAATTCTTAAAAACTGTGGTCCCAGTCTGGAGGCGAAGAACAAGTCGTAATTTTTGATAGTTGTAGAAATTTGAGAAAGCAAACGGTCAGTCCCTTGTATTCATGTAGGAATAGGTCGTATCAGATTATGTGAGGCAAGACTACACAACTTTTTTTGAATTTTGAAGTACTCAAAAGAGCCTCATTGCTGAAAGAACTTAGATTAATATCGGAGGGAAGAGATAGACATTAATTCAGTTATTATTTGTGAAAGTTGCAGTATTACAAACTTTGAAAATTATTTCACCAAGCGGTAGTTTTGCTCAACCATTGTTCATTCACAAGTCAAAACAGCCACAAGCTATGGGTTACAAACTACAGTTGTTCAATTCACACAGTATACTNTTGCTGAAAGAACTTAGATTAATATCGGAGGGAAGAGATAGACATTAATTCAGTTATTATTTGTGAAAGTTGCAGTATTACAAACTTTGAAAATTATTTCACCAAGCGGTAGTTTTGCTCAACCATTGTTCATTCACAAGTCAAAACAGCCACAAGCTATGGGTTACAAACTACAGTTGTTCAATTCACACAGTATACTGAGTTATAATGGGGTTTGTAGGTTTCTGTTCTAAGTATGATGTGTTGATTTCTGGTTGATGTCTTCCTCTTTTTTACATATTAGCTGTAACGCTCCGTATGATGTCTGATTTAAAGATTTAATGTTTCTAGAAGAAGCAAAACCAGCTATGTATAGGAGTGTTTTTTTCCCCACTTTGTTTACTGGAAAGTGAGAGTTGTGTATGCCAGGAAAAACATACATGTAAGAAAATGTTTACTTAAAAAGTGTGTGTGGTAAACAAGAAAAGAGGGAGCTAAAGATGTAATGAGTGAATGTGTGAACTCAGTAGAAAAGTGAGTGACCAGTTTGAAAGAAATAGGGCATAATGGTTTGATTAAACAGAAGGAATGAATGAGGAATTAATTGGAAAACAAATATACAAGGTTTGTGATTAGTTGGTCAGTAGAAGACCAATAAAATTTGTGGTTAGATGGAATTAATGAGATCCTAAAAGGAGAGCGAGGTGACTTTAAAAAAAAGAAAGAAAAGGAGAAAGAGGGATGAGAGAGAGACAGAGAGAGAACCAGAGAGAAGGAGGGAGGGAGAGAGAAAGGGAGGGAGAGAGGGAGGGAGGGAGAAAGAGGGAGAAAAAAGATGGAGAGGGAGAGAGAGAAAGTGAGACAGAAAGGGAGGGAGAGAGAGAGAGAGAAAGAAAGACAAAGGGAGGGAGAGAGGGGGAAGAGAGAGGAAGGGAGGGAGAGAGAGGCAATATACTAATTAGTGTCTAGATGTGATGGAATCAAGAATGTTTTGGAAAAGCAGAAAAAATATAAGAAGTGTAATGAATGGTGAACATATGAACTAGGTAGAAGATGTTCTCTTCTTTTTTCTTGTGCTTCCAATTTCTTTTGCTTATTATTTCTTATTATTTTTGTTCAGGAAACATTCATTCATCACCCACACATCAACATATATAAAATTTCTACATAAACATTTCAATAAATAAGTTATATTTCATTATAATCATCCATAACTACTATAGCTTTGTAGGTAATTTATTCATATGATGTTAACACCACTTCTGAAAGCCAATGAGTATCTGAGGCCTTATGGTTTTCTTCCAGTATTGAGAAAATAAAGTTTTTTATAGCTATAATATAAGACACAGGGAATCAATTTTTTTTGCCGAGAAGTCAATTTCCAGTTGATAGCAATAATAGAAACTTGTAATGATATTCTCACAGTTGAATTAATACATGTAATAACTTTCTCCTCAAAAGGAATAATTATAGGATATTGAACAAAAACAAGTTTAAATGAAGTGATAATCTCATTATATCTCCAACTGCATGAAGATTTTCTCAGGCCTTTTCTATTTAAGTGTAACGTGTCTAAAATATATATTTTTGTTGAACAAGACATAAGATCTACTGAAATGTTTAGCGTTAACACCTCTTCCTATTGTCTGGGCAAAATAGGAAACTTTAATTCTTTATTCCATTCAAACATTAAAGCTTGCATATCAAATTGATTAATCACTAACTTAATTTTGTGAAGACTAATTGCAGGGGGTCTGAATCACGTTAATAATTGCTTGTACGTGAACGTTTCTGGGGTTAAAAATGACACAGATCCAAATTGGGATGTCAGTAGATGTTATAATTGGTCAGTACTGACAAAGTGATCCACACTAGGCAAATTGTATTTGTGCTTTAAAATAGAAAAGGATAATATATCTTTGATAAATTATAATAAATGTATTTTGTGCTTTCAAGTCAATGTTGACTCCTGGCATTACTTGGACAAATCCCTGCAGTTTTCTTAGCAAGATTTTGAAAGTGGCAGGGCAGAGGGAGAGTGACCGGCCCAAAGTCACCCAGCTGTCTTTGGGCCTAAGGTGAAAGTGGAACTCGTGATCTCCCAGTTTTTAGCCTGGTGCCTTAACCATTATACTAAACTGGCTCTCTTTCCATGTAATAGTATTCTTTTAATTAATTCCAAGATCTGGATTACCTTATAACATGAATTTATGAGAAAAGGGATCAAAGAACCATTTCCTAGAAATAAGATACCATAATCTTTGAATCAATGTAAGAGGAATATGTCTTCCCGTTTTTTGAAACCTTTTCCTGACTTGGGAGCACTGAATGTTCCCCTAAATATGGGGAAATGACCCATTGGGTAAATGATCCGAAATCATTTTCAATTCTGCTAGTTGGTACAAATGACCACAATGGCTGCCTTCTTTCAAAATATTTTATTCAGCAAGACATGTTCCAAATTTTCCACAAAAGTGTTCTGGTTCTGGGTTTTTCAAATTGTGTTCCGGAGATCTCAAGATTCAATGACAATTCGATGGGATTCCATGAGACCCTAAGAGCAACCCAAAAAAAAAAGGAAAATAAAATTAAAAAAATTACTTGAACACATCCATTTTTCTTTTACTAGAGTTTTTAAACTCTTGATCTGGGGTTCAGAGAATATTGTTTTACCTGTGTAGCGGGGAGTCACCTAACATGTTCTATACTATAGCCTGAAAAAGTGTGAAAACTTTTATTATAGTTATTGAATTCATGGATACTGAGCACTTATGTTGCACCTGGTGCTATCTTATAATTAATAAGACCATTCCAACCCATGATTCAAAGCAGAACAAAAAAACTGAGTTGTGTTAAAACTATCAAAGGTCACAGATTTCCTGGCTCCAACCGGGAGGTAAGCTGGAATGATTTAAATCACCGATGAACTGATAAAAAATAATAGCAACATTTACTTTTTTGAAAATGGGCTCTTCAAATGTTGTTTCATAGGCATACCATTAAAAACATCTTATTTGTGAAGGAACAAAACGTTTTTGAAAAAGGCAGGCCTGGGAACCATTCTAATGCAACCTTTAACTTTGCTGGTTGAATTATCAAACAGAATTCTTGGTGGTAACCAGTGCTTTTTTTGTAAAAAAAAAAAAAAAAAAAAAAAGGTGCCGTAGCTCACACATGTCATACAACCCGCCTTGCCTACCCTACAAGGTTCCATCCAAAAAAGGTGCCAGAACTCCATTCTGGGCGTTCTATGACAAAAAAAGCCTTGGTGGTAACCATCGGTCATTTAGGTATGAGATAGTGGATGTTTATTTTAAAATGTTGTCTGCAATATTCACATATGCATGTAAACAACTTGGAAGGCATTTATCATTCCCACTTTGGAAACGAATGTTTCAGATATCAGTGCTGTCATGATTTTAGAGATGCTTATGTCTTCTCTGCCAATCTGTCTTGATTGTCTGTACA